TACATAGCAGCCACCTCAAATACTTTTTCAAAAAACTATTCAGGGTAAAAGAAAATAAAAATAATTTGGGATCAAATCAATTATTTCAATAATTGCTAAATTTCTCAGCCCATCTCATCTTGTCATTCCAAATACAACTGTCTTGCACTTGACGACAAACCTCCTTCCTTCTCTCACCTCAGACCAGAACCAACTCTCCCAGACCACGCAAGGACTCTCAAATGCCCTATCCACCTCAGATCAGTCTAGTAATTAACCCTTTCTCTATATTAACCAAAAATATCAAAAAGGAACCTGCATGCAGCACTGTACATCACGTTAGAAATGCCGCCTTATAGCCTCTCCCTGCACAGCAAAGTGCTTGACTCTGAACAGTTATTCAACTATCAAACCACAAAGTTCAACAGGGACTTAACATATCTTTTAGCACAATAAATAGACTATATTTTTTGTTATTTAATTATGTCCTTGAGTGATCATCTAAAGACAAAGCTGAATAACTTTATAAACATCCTCTCGAATAAAAGAGACTAGAAAATAATTATATACAAATCTTCAGGTGCCTCTGAGTTATAGGCAAAGGTTTACAATTAAACTTGTTAAAACTTCTGCAGTGAAGTCATAATTTTTCTATTAATAACTAGTCTTTGTTCTTATCCTCTCTCCCACTTTTGTAAAGTTTAAAAATGAACTTGCAACAACCTGACCACATCCTTTCTATTTTAAATCATTTTCCTGCTAGTACCTGCTAGTTTCCTGCTTCTGCTAGTACCACTTGCAGAAGCATAGAGTCATGTCAAAATTCCACTCCCCAAAGTCTAATCGTTCAAAATCTGAGGAAACCAAAATCTCTGGAGATTTTCATCTAATTTAACAACTATGTATAAGGAGAAATATTTTTTCAATTGCAAAACATCCCAGTTAGATAACAAATGTTATTTACTGAAAGAAAAATCCCCTGCCATAACAAAGCTATACCACTTACTAATTATAAGTTCTTTTATTCTCATTTAAATTATTCTGAAATTCTGGTTAACGGCCAAATAATTCCAGAAGGTTTCAGGAAATTATACAATAGAAAAATTTTTAATATAAAAATACTTAGCATTCAAAATACCTGCCTGCATAATGGTCTTCTGCTCTTTGGATTGTATTCATTTATTTAATGTGAACATAACATGAAGTCATAATAAAAAAGGCCAATGAAATTTGGACAGTTTATCTTTTCTGCAGACTTCAGAGTCAAATGCCATCTGCTTCTACACCATCATTCTATAGCTAAGCCCAATCTAGTTACCACTGTGAAAGCAAAAGTACCCTACAAAAGGAGCAAGAGGGGCGGGCCCCGTGGCGTGGCGGTTAAGTGCGCGCGCTCCGCTCCTAGCGGCCGGGTTCGGATCCCCAGCGCGTACCAACGCACCCCTTGTCGGGCCATGTTGAGGCCACATCCCACATATAGCAACTAGAAGGATGTGCAGCTATAACATACAACTATCTACTGGGGCTTTGGGGAGAAAAAGGGGAAAAAAAAGGAGGAGGATTGGCAATAGATGTTAGCTCAAGGTCGGTCTTCCTCAGCAAAAAGAGGAGGATTGGCATGGATGTTAGCTCAGGGCTGATCTTCCTCACAAAAAAAAAAAAAAAAAGATAAAGCATTTTTTAAGAGAAAAATCAGAGCTTACAAAGAAACAAATATCAAAAGAGGAAATTCCCTTTCTTAAGTATTTTGTTTCTCATTTTGCATCTCTTTAGTTGCATCTCTCAAAAACTTAGCAAATTTTAAGTTAAATATCTGATAAAGAAAAAACTAAGAAATCTAAAAAGAGCCACAAAAAACAAAAACAAAAAGAAAATAGTGGATCAATAACTAAGTGATAATTACTCTCTTGGCTAATGATGCTATGAATCTTAGGTTAGAGGGACCAAATCCAGCTTAGCTGTGGGCCAGTCAACTGGTTGGCTAACTTAGTCACAGAAAAACAGAATTATTCAGCAGAATCATTTCACAAAAGAAAACCTTTGAACTTTGCGGACTATGCCCTATACATCCCTAGCACAGGCCTCAGACAGTCCCCAACTGTCTATCACACGGATGTCCTTGCAGTAAAAAACACAGGCCTTTGTGAGGAACTAACAAGAATTCACTCACAATCTCTGACTCCTCTCCTTCAGCAGCAGAAACAAGAGAAGGTACAAGAATATATTAAAAGGCATTTGGGAAGGATAAGCAAATCACTGAAGTACTTGCTTCAGTGGAGAATATCAAAAACCCAACTTCTTAGAGGTTTAATACAAAAAGGTACCTTAATCAAGCCAAAAAAAAGAACCACACCTGATATAATTTTTAGTTACCTTGCATTTTTGCTTTTATTGCTAGAGTTTTAATGATTTGATAAACCAGGGAAATATCCTGCATATATAAATCAAGTTTCTTGCTGTCATTTAAAAGGTTGTTAAAGCTATATACCCACATTCTTTAATTCACTGACTTTAAAAAACCAATTTTCATTCAATTTTCTCAGCAAATTCTAGGCTTTAAGGAACTGATTCATCTACTGACACCTTAAACTCTGACTTGTTGGGAAAGTCCATGATTCATCCTTTAAACCTACTGTATGCAAATATAACTGTATTCCAAAAATGGGAAGTAATAGATTAATACTGGGCCTGTGACCACAAGGACTCCGAAGAACCACAGATCTGAACCTGCAAAGTATTGCCTCAGCCACGAAGTGACCTTCTGACTAAGAAGTCTCCCAGGCCAGAATTTTTAGTTATTCGAGATGGTAAAAACCCTAGGAATTGTTATAAATGCATTTAGGGTCAAAGCAAAAATGACCATAACTCCAGGTTTACACACCTGTTGTCCTCCAGCTTAATTATTAATATTGCCCCCTTTCGCCCTCAAAAGGGTCTCTTTCTGTAGCAAAACTCATCAGTGGTGACAAAAGTCAGAATAGTGGTAGCCTTGGGGAGGGGGAAGGTATTTACAGAATGGGAGGAATGTAAAGCGAGCCCTTTGGGAGGCTGAAAATGTTCTATATCTTGATCAGAGTGTGGTTACCAAGGCATATGCATATGTAAGAAGTCGCTGAACTGTACTCTTAAGGACTTACTGAAAGTTAGACTTCAATAAAAAATACATAATTTAAAAAACACACTGAAATACATTTTTAAATGTCTTTGATCAGATCATAAATTACATAAAATAATTTTAGATATAGCTACCAAATTTTTCCAAATGTATTTTAATAAAGATGCATATTGTGAGCACTTTTAAGTAGAAGCTTTCAAAATAGACTGATTTTTTAACTATTTCATTTTAACACATCGCCGAATTTCAGAATTGAAAGCACGCAGAAAGATGACCTATTCATCCTCTAATTTTGTAAATAAGGAAAAACAAATAAATATAGGATAAGAAACGTAGCCAAAATAAGGCAGCTAATCAATGACAACAGTAGTAACGACTGTTTCCTGATCGCAGGCCACTCCCGTTTCCACCAGGCCGTTAGTTTTCTGACACTGTAAACAAATCTGAACTCTGCATCTACCTGTGGCCTAGAAGGATTCAACACATCCCTTAAAACATCACGCCAACAGGCCCCGAAGTGTAAACACGAAGACACACTCGTCTTCCTTCCTCCTCTCAAGTCAGTTGGCAAATGAACAATTACATTTTCAGGCATTTTACTTGAGGTGCAATAAAGTGTGACATCTTAAAAATGTGGTTCAAGAGCAGAAGGCATATGCAGGGACTGACAAAATCCATTTTATTTCCTTTCAAATCTCTTTGATGGTTACTTGGTTCTCAAAAAACTATATCCCTAAGAAGGACTCACGAAACATCATCGCTTGGGGCCGTTCACCAGCACGGCTTTGAATGACCCGCTGGGAATAACCCCCCCCCACTGAATAAAAATCCTGTCTCTGACAAGGGTGTCCTCCCTCATTCTCTGCACACTACAAGACCTGGAGGTGACCTGTGCTTTACCGCTTAGTTTTAGACCCCAGTGAACAGCTGACATCTTGCGAAAAACTTAACATAACACACACCCTTTCCGCGGGAATTTATTTCTGCTCTCACAAGGCGTTTCTGCTCCCCACAGAGCAGGCCGTGCTTCTCAGGACACTCTGCTTGCCCCTCCACAGCCTCCTTTTCAGAGTCCAAAGCGAGACTTCGAGAACAGAAATCGAAACAGTCTCGGACCTCCCGAGAGGCAGGTCGGGGCCCCGAGCAGGTCCGGCTGGGGTCGAGCGGCGGCTTCCCGGCGAGCCCACCGCCTGCCCGCGCCCCGAGCCGCGGAGGCCCGGCGCACTCGACCACGCCAGCCCCAAGCAACCGGTTGCGGTGGCCGCTAGACGCTCCGCAACCGCGCAGCGGCCACCTGGGCCCTCCGAAGTTCGGACCGCCGCATGGGCGGCGCGGCCCGGGCCCCTG